TTTTTTTTTCTTTTTTTCTTTTTGGTTTTTCGAGACAGGATTTCTCTGTGGTTTTGGTGCCTGTCCTGGAACTAGCTCTGTAGACCAGGCTGGCCTCGAACTCACAGAGATCTGCCTGCCTCTACCTCCCAAGTGCTGGGATTAAAGGCATGCACCACCACCACCCGGCGCAAGTACTCTTTTTTAAAAGGATTTATTTTCTTTTGAATTCTGTGTATGTATGTGGCTTGCATTGGGGTATGTGCATGTAAAGATGAGAATTCAGGAGAAGGTCTCCTATCCCTTGGAGCTGGAATTATCATTTGTGAGCCATCTGACAAGGGTGCTGGGAAATAAACTTGGGGCCTCTGGAAGAGCAATATGTTCGTCTTAACCAGTCAGTCATCTCTCTAGCCGCATTTTTTTTAAATTTAAAATTATGTTTATTGCCCAATGTGGTGGTGCACGCCTATATTCCCAGAACTCAGAAGGCAGAGGCATGTGGACCTCCAAATTCAAGGCCAGCCTGGTCTACAGAGTGAGTTCCAGGACAGCCAGGGCTACACAAAGAAACCCTGTCTCAAAAACCAAAGGACAAAAAAGAATTGTACTAGCTATTAACTGGCAGCACAGTATTGCAAAAGCTAACAACATCCAATGGTCAATTCCGTTATATGGATAATTCTATGAAGCATGTAACTACATGAAACAAATCAACTTCTATTTGTTTCTGTCACTGCCATTTGCAGGTCAATGGCATCCCTAAGTAGCATTTTCATGACTCATAGTCCTTTCTTCCACAGAGTTAAAGGAAAAAGTCACATCTAAAGCCACTGCCTCTGCATAAGTATCTCTGAGGGTACAAAACTAAGGGGCCACAAAGGAGAGGCAGAGAGCCCTTCCCAGTACAGCCATTCCCTTTTCCCTGTTCAATAGCCAGTAACCTTGACCTATCCCTGGCCCCTCCCATTCCCTCAGTCCCCAAGTCCCCAAGCCCTAACGCTTATATATGTAAAACACATTTCAACACCAACTCATTGTTCCTCCACCTTGTGACCCTCTGTGAGCCAACTACCCCAGATACCTCAGACTGCTACTTCCTAACCAGCTCCTTTTGTGTGCCTCCCACCCCAACAGCTGCCAGTGTGGTCTTGCTAAAACATTAAAACACTTTCCAGGTGAGATGAAGGCTTACCAAGTTAAGAAACTACTGTAATATAGAATTAAGGTTACAGGCCGGGTAGTGGTGGTGCACGCCTTTAATCCCAGCACTTGGGAGGTAGAGACAGGTAGATCTCTGTGAGTTCGAGGCCAGCCTGGTCTACAGAGTTAGTTCCAGGACAGGCTCCAAAGCTACAGAGAAACCCTGCCTTGGAAAAAAACAAACAAAGAATTAAGGTTACACGATTTTGGCAAAAATGTAAAAATACCTGGAACTCAAGCTTGGGAGATCCAATATGCAAATACCAAAAAAATGAAGAGAATAAAAGATCAGGTGAAGATCTTAGAATTAAACAGGCAACAAGTATAATGTAAATTTTCTGAAGTAAAGAAATGACTTAGCCCGGCGGTGGTGGCGGCGCGCGCCTTTAATCCCAGCACTCGGGAGACAGAGGCAGGCGGGTCTCTGGGAGTTCGAGACCAGCCTGGTCTACAAGAGCTAGTTCCAGGACAGGCTCCAAAACTACAGAGAAATCCTGTCTCAAAAAACCAAAAAAAAAAAAAAAAGAAAGAAAAGAAAAGAAAAGAAAAGGGCTGGAGAGATGGCTCAGTGGTTAAGAGCACTGGCTGCCATTCCAGAGGACCGGGGTTCAATTCCCAGCACCCATATGGCAATTCACAACCACCTGTAACTCCAATTCCAAGTAATCGGATCCCTTCTTCTGGTTTCTACAGGCACTGTACACATATGGTGCACAGATATATACAGTCAAAACACCCATACATATAAAATAAATCTCAAAAAAATTAAACAAAACTTCAGATCATTTTAGGCTAGGTGTGGTGGCATATACCTTTAATCTCTGCACTTAGGAGACAGGCAGGCAGATTGCCGAGTTTGAGGCCAGTCTGGTCTACATAGTAAGGACAACCAGGGCTGCAGCCCTGGCTGGTTTCAAACTTGCTATATACACTAGGCTGGCCTCAAACTCACAAAGGCTGCCTGCTTCTGCCTCCTCAGTGCTGGGATTATAGACATGTACCATCAAGCCAGGCATATTATATTATACTTATCATTAAAGTGTACTTCTATTTATTTAAAAATCAAAGTTTCAGATGACTGCTTTGAGTTTGAGGTTAGCCTGGCTACACAGTGAATTAAAAGCCAGTCAGCCTAAGATATGGCAAAACCCTGTTTCAAAACAACAAATAGAAATTCACTGTCAAGCATCTAAAAATGCATAAATATTGGGGCTGGAGAGATGGCTCAGTGGTTAAGAGCACTTGTAAAGGACCTAGGATTCAATTCTCTGCCTCCATGTGGTGTTTACACCTCCCTAAAACTTTAGTTTTAGGGAATCCAATGCCCTCTTCTGTCTTCCTTGGATGCCAGGCATGTGCATGGTTCACATACATACATGTAAGAATACATGCACGGATTGCTCTTTGGGCTGAAGAGGGAGGGGGACTTGGTTGGGGGAGGGGGAGGGAAAGGGGAGGGGGAGGAGGGGAAGAGACAGAAATATTTAATAAATAAATAAATAAAAATAATAAAAAAATAAAAAAAAAGAATACATGCACGGGCTGGACAGTGGTGGTGCACACTTTTAATCCCAGCACTCAAAATGCAGAGGCCAGCAGTGGCAAGCAGTTCTCTGTGAGTTCAAGGCCAGCCTGGTCTACAGAGTGAGTTCCAGGATAGTCAGGGCTATGTATACAATATGTATACAATATTCTGTCTGTCTGTATGTCCGCAGACCAGAAGAAGGCACCAGACCTCTTTACAGAAGGTTGTGAGCCACCATGTGGTTGCTGGGAATTGAACTCAGGACCTTTGGAAGAGCAGGCAATGCTCTTAATCACTGAGCCATCTCTCCAGCCCTCCATACCCCAATTTTTAATTGGGTTATTTAGAATTTTAATGTCTAATTTCTTGAGTTCTTTATATATTTTGGAGCGCAGTCCTTTGTCTGATGTGGGATTGGTGAAGATTTTCTCCCATTCAGTAGGTTGTCTTTTTGTCTTATTGACAGTGTCCTTTGCTTTACAGAAGCTTCTCAGTTTCAGGAGGAGAAGGGGAGGGTTGGGGAGAGCTTGAGGGAATGGGATAGTTGAGATGGAGGAAGGACAGATATGAGAGCAAGGAAAGAGATATTTTGATTGAGGAAGCCATTTGCGGTTAGTAAGAAACCTGGCTCTAGAAAAATTCCCAGGAATCCACAAGAATGACCCCAGTGTTCTGCCTGCATGTATCCCTGCAGGCCAGAAGAGGGCACCAAATCTCATTACAGATGGTTGTGTGCCACCATGTGGTTGCTGGGAATTGAACTCAGTACCTTTGGAAGAACAAGCAAAGCTCTTAGCCACTGAGCCATCTCTCTAGCCCATCTTAAATATCTTAATATCTTAAATATCACCATAGAACCTTTGTCTAACAACAGATGGAGATAGAGACAGAAACCATCATAGGAGCACTGGACTGAGCTCCAAAGGTCCAGCTGAAGAGGGGAAGGAGGGAGAGGATGAGCAAGGAAGTCAAGACCATGAGGGGTTGTTTCACCCACTGAGACAGTTTGCCTGAGCTAACGGGAGCTCACCAACTCCAACTGGACTGGGAATGAACGAGCATGGGATCAAACTAGTCCCTCTGAAAGTGGGTGACAGTTGGGGCAGA